AGAGAGAGAGAGTGTGAGTGTGTGTGTGTGTGTGTGTGTGTGTGAGAGAGAGAGAGAGAGAGCATGTGTGTGTGTGTGTGTGAGAGAGACGTGCTCATTTGTCGCCTGTCAATCATAACAGCGCCGCAGATGCCGGGATACGAGCAGGAGACGCCGCTGAATCAGACCGACAGCACGGTGACTGTTCTGCTGAAACCAGCCCGGAGCCGCGGAGCACCGGTTAGGTGCGTCAAACATTCTCACACTCTCACAAACACACACACACTCACACACTCACACAGACACACACACACACACACACACAGACAGACACTCACACACACACACACACACACACACACATTTTATTATTTTATTTGGATCCACAAGACAAGCAACAAAAACAGAATCCAAATACTTTGGGAAGTCAGTTTGCAAGACGACAGGCACACATGGCTAACATACATTCACAAGTCCTTATATTTATAACATTCAACACTCAAGGATAGACAAAACATCTTCGTTTCCATATTTGCATACTCCCTATAGTGGCCAACTTTACAAAATTTTGCGAGTTTTTTTGCTTTCTTTTTTTGCAAACACACACACTCTCTCTCTCTCACACACACACACTCTCACACACACACACACTCACACACACACAGACACACACACACGTTTAATCTTCCTCAAAGCTAAGAAAATACAGTCGAAAGCAAATGAACTGAGCCGCTGTTCAGATTAGACTCAGATTGTTATTGTAGTGTCAGTGTTGTGTGTTTGAGTGTTTGCTCTCGGCGCAACGCTCTTCTTGTGTCTTGAAGATAAGTTTCCTTCACTCAGAATCCTGCAGCGCTAGATTGTGGGCGGGCGATTCCTCTCAGTCTGAGTGATTCTCAGCAGCACTTCATGTGTGTTTGCGCTCGTGATGATAATGTCTGCGGCTGCTTCATTATTCAGCAGATGGTTCTGGTCGAGGGTCGCAGGTAACTCAACCCTGGCAGCACAGAAAGTGAGGATAAAAGCATCTGCAGACTGAATGCATGTAAATGTGAGTGTTATTGAGATCACTCAGAGCTTGAGCGCGTATGAGACGTTACCTATAGATGATGTGATATCAGATGAACTCGCTCGTCGTCGCTCAGTGACTGTGACGCTGAGAGTGCTTCGGTGGATCGGCTGAAGCTGTGCATCGTCTGCTGTAACTCGGTTCCTGCGGCGTTTAAAAGCCTCCATTAAGAGCCAGAGAGACGGCAGCGGGATAGCAGGGTTAGGACGACTTTTTAGTGCATTTAGAAAAGATGCCTAACAAAGAAAAAAGTTTTTTTCAAAGTTAAGTAAGTGTTAGAGGAAAAAAACATTCTTAAAGTAAAGTTTAAGGAATGTTCATTTAACTTTACAGTTTTTTTTTCAACTGCTTTCACAGAAACTCTTTCCTCGTCACACAGTTTCTGAAAGCTGACACTCAAACAGCAGAAGCACACACCAAACCTACAGAACCAGACACTAATACTCAGCCTTTGACTTTTTTAATTTCACAAAACACTTTTTGTAAAACACAACACACAGTTCTCGATGTAACCGCTGAGAGTGCTTCGGTGGATCGGCTGAAGCTGTGCATCGTCTGCTGTAACTCGGTTCCTGCGGCGTTTAAAAGCCTCCATTAAGAGCCAGAGAGACGGCAGCGGGATAGCAGGGTTAGGACGACTTTTTAGTGCATTTAGAAAAGATGCCTAACAAAGAAAAAAGTTTTTTCAAAGTTAAGTAAGTGTTAGAGGAAAAAAACATTCTTAAAGTAAAGTTTAAGGAATGTTCATTTAACTTTACAGTTTTTTTTTCAACTGCTTTCACAGAAACTCTTTCCTCGTCACACAGTTTCTGAAAGCTGACACTCAAACAGCAGAAGCACACACCAAACCTACAAAACCATACGCTAATACTCAGCCTTTGACGTTTTTAATTTCACAAAACACTTTTTGTAAAACACAACACACAGTTCTCGATGTAACACACACACATCTAACAGGAATTAATATTACGGCAAAGGTGTTTGCAAATGTTTGCTTTTGAGATGTGTTTGTGATATTTTGAATGCAGCGCTTCGTTTCTCAGAATGTCCTTATGATGTTATTTGCACTCGATGAACGTTCTACGAAATGTTTTTTTGTAACCTTTAAATAACATTCGAATCACAAACTGGTTCTTAGAACATTAAAAATAAACATTCAAATAATCAGTGCTGGCTAGATTACTTTCTGATTACTTTTGATTGCTCATTTGTCACATTGATTTAAATAGGATAATCTTTAATCATTTAGCAGACGCTTTTATCCAAAGCGACTTACAAATGAGGACAATAGAAGTAATCAAAACTAACAAAAGAGCAATGATATGCAAGTGCTGTAACAAGTCTCAGTTAGCTTAATGCAGTACACATAGCAAAGTTTATAATATATATGTGTGTATATAATATATATATATATATACAGTGTGTGTATATATAAAGAAACAAGTAGATAGAATAGAAAAAGAGTAGGGAACACTTGTGTTAGAGGGTCATTTTTTTATAATAAATAAAATGAAAACAAGCAGTTAGAGAACAAGTTTTAGAAGATCAAGTGTGTTTTTAAATAAAAAAGAAAACAAATAGATAAAATAGAATTAGAATGGAAAGTGCAAGTGTTAGAGGGTCGGGTGTTTTTTTTGTTTAAATGGGGACGACTGTAGTCTTCATCTCTTGCTTTATTTTCAGCAGAAATCTTGATGAATGAATGATGGAAGCATGAATAAACCACGCGTTTGTTTTTGCACTTCTGACTTTACGGTGAAATATTCAGACGATATTCTTGTCTGAGGGCGTTTTAATGGAGGAGGACAGACGGGTGACAAAAGATGCTGTTAGAAGCGTCTCACGCGTCGCCTTCAGTCTGGAAACGCTTTCTCTTTCACTGCGTCTTCATGCATGATTCAGCTCCAGATTCCCGTGATCCCCCTCATCTTAATTAGCTCTGGCAGGTCTTGATGAAAAGCACATCTCGTTAATTACGGCGTAAGGGTGGGTTTTGTTTAGCGGCGGCGAGCGTGATTTCGCACGTTAAGAAGGGGATCTGGCTTTGGGTGCTTTAGCCCAGCGTTGAATAACTGCCACTTCACGCTTTAGCGTAGATTTAGACTCACACGCTCATCTCCACATCAACAATAACTCAACGCAAATATCAAAAAACGTGTGCTTATTTCAGATAGTTTCCAAAGCAGTTTTCATTTAGTTTAACTTGATGTACTAAAATAACAAACTTGAATGAAAACGATGTATATATATATATATATATAAACCTAAAAATGTAAAAAAAAAAAACTCCTAAAAAAAAGGTAATGATAGCTAAAATGGAAAATACAAATATAAAAATGTATTCAAAATATATTTTAAAAAAAATTATAATCCGGGTCCAAAATCAGTATCACAACATGGTTATTTTTGTTAGAAATTCAACAAAGAAATTATTTCATAATTAATATTTGCATATCTTAACTGCAAAAAGTCTTGTTCTTCCGAATGTTTTTTGTTATAATAATATTTTATGGAATATTATTATATTATAAAATTATGTTTTATTTTTATACTGTTTTGCATTTCAAGTACATTCTTAAATCAAGAAACATTTCAATGACAAGATATTAAATCTGGTTTTCTGATAAATAATATTATATATTATTGTATATAAATGAAATATATTATTTTATAAAGTAAAATTCCCCTTATTGTTATAACTACTAAGTATTATTTATTAATTATTATTATTACTTGTATTTTTTATTAATTTTGACAATTAATTTGTACTTTTATGAATTATTTTTATTTTAAAAAATGTATTTTTACCCAAAATTCTCATTACTGTAATGTTAAATAAACAATCTTTACTGTAATGCTTTTATTTTATTTTATTTTAGTATCATTTAATTTTAAAATGTAGTAAAATACATAAATATTTGTAAAAAAATTATTTTAAAAAATTGCATTTTACATCAAATTTACATGCTTTTTTCTTGCATGCATGCATAAATACATACATAAATAAACAATCCTTACTGTAATGCTTTTATTTTATTTTATTTTTGTATCATTTAATTTTGAAATGTACTAAAATACTTAAATATTTGTTAAAAATAATTTAAAAAATTTGCATTTTACTCCAAATTTACATGCTTTTTACATACTTTTTACATACTTCTTACATGCATAAATAAGTAAATAAGTATTATTTCAATAAAAGATGTGTGTGACTCACAGCAGTTGTGTAAAGAGTGTGTCAGCGTCTCGTGTGTCCATCACAGTGTGAGGTTATTCAGAGCGAATCGCAGCGGCTGTGTGTTTCTGACAGAGATCATGCGACTGAGACGGTGTTCAGGTGAAGCCGGGGGAAATTAGAAAAGTGGCGCAGCTGGATGAAAATAGAAATGTGTTTTTAAACGCTTTCACATTGCTGCTCTATTCTGGCAGAAATTGGTCACAGCTGGTTTGAGCCGAGCTGCCTGCCTTTATATCCGATGCGTGTAAACGTGAAAACACGACTGCGCGGTTAAACAGCTTCTCCAGCAGCAGATGTTTCATCCTCATCGTAAATGCGATTCGATTGCTTTGGGAGAGCGTTCAATACAAGCGTGTGCGACTGAAAACACGTCTTAATTCAATCAGAGCACGTTTGCTGTGTTTTCATGGATTTCATAGCAGATACGATGGATTTTGATGTGTGTTTTTTCCTATTACTGTAATTATTACAATTACAACGAATTTAGGTTATTATTATTATATATATATATATTTTGTATTATACATTCATTTTATTTTGATTTATTTTTTATTTAATTTTAATTTAATTTAATTGTATTTTATTTTATTTTAAAATGGAAATGAGTGTGACTTGAGTGTAAAAATAGTTTTTTTAAATGATAACAGACATAACTTTTTACCCTTAATTATCATTACTGTAATGCAAAAATATTATTTTATTATTTTTAATTTAATTACATTTATTTATTTTATTTTTTCCCATTACTGTAATTGCTACAATTACAATGATTGTAGGTTATTATTATTATTATACATTAATATTAATTTTATTTACTTTTTAATTTAAGTTTAATTTAATTTTAAAAATGGAAATGAGTGTGACTTTATGCTCAGTAAGTAGTAAAACATTTTTTTAAATTATAAAATATATCAAATTTTACCCTAAATTATCATTAC